CATCGTAGAAAGGAGGTCAACATTGGTGGAGACTGAAATTCCTTCATGGACTGGGATCCTGTAAATTTCCAGTGAGTATGTCTTTGAGCTCATTTCTCAATATAGCAGCTGTCTTTGCGACGCATTTGATGTCATCTTCTTCATTTTGTTGCTCTCGGAGGTTGTTAACAGCCACTCCAAGTAGCTTTTCGCTGACTACATTGTCACTTTCATTGGATCTATGTGACTTGACAAATTTAACATCTTCAATGTTTTGATGGATAATGCTTTTCAGATGCTTTTTATGATGGCTGGAACCTGGATCTACCTCATTTTCAGTAAGTATGGAAACATATTCTTCATCAATTTCATTCATTGTTAGAGTAGAACCTGAAGCAAGGGAACATTTGACAGCATTCAGGATGTCAACGTCAGCGATATATTTGCCAATGTTGGACTTGGACTGTATATCCCAGTTTGAAATGGATTGTTGCAACTTTCGTTCGTGTTCTCTAAGACAATTCCTGTGATACATTAAATCAAATGCAGCGCAGTCAGAAGGTTCATTAACATTGGCTAAAGCTACCCTAACATTCTCATCTTGTGTTCTTGATTTAATCAACAAAAACCTGATGCCCATAGACTCACTTTCGACTCGATGTAGTTCGCCTGTGCTAGGATGGGAACACTGGAACACACAAGACTTGATGTGCTGTGAAGCGCCAACAGATCGTCGTAGCCGTTCGCCTGTTACCTCTCTACTGCATGATGGAGAATCTGACCTTGAAGGGCGACCTTTCTTTGGAGGCACTACTGACTTTGATGATGATGAAGATTCCCTAAATCTCTTTTCTGCCCTTTTCAATTTCTCATTGTTGACGATATTTTTATAGCATCCAGAATGATTTGCAGACTGAATGTATTGCTCATCTGTAAGACTTGCAATCCTGTCACAGAGAGGGGATAAGTTTGTTTCCCCATACGATGCACGTTGGTTGCATATTTCTTGACTTTTTCCAGACTCTCCCTAGACGATTTCAATGTTAAGGGTGTTTTTCCTTCGACCTTCGAGCATATGATGCACTTGTTGGCACTGGTTTCTGTAGTATCCATGTTAGAGAAATTGCTTCATCTCTTGACCATTCCTTCATCTCTTCTTCCTTTTGTGCATGTCTGACATTCCTAGGACAGCACATTAACCACATCATATTAAAACTAAAATCACATTATGATGCTTTTTTCACACACTTTTTCGATCAATTTCAAATTAGTAATTACCTAATTAATGTTTTTCGCCTCCAATCCCAAAATCGAGTTCGGCTGCTTAGACAATGAAAAATATGGAAAGATACATACAGCTCATGTAGTGACAGCTGTGTCCGCCATCTTGGATGTCCCTGTAAAAAGACTAGGTACTAGTCATGCAAACTATTCTGACAAATTCTTTACTTTATTGTACCTTTTATCTTTATTCACATTACCGATCACAGCCACTATAGCTTAGTTCTATTTATATGTCTTGGACATAATTTCTAGTGAAATTGTGAACAAAAATTAAAGAGTTTTAATGACTCACCACCACAGCCTTAAATTAGTAAATAGTGACTGTAGTGAGACAGTTAAAAAAGTCAAAGCTAAGTTTTTAATAAAATGGTCATGGCATGAAATAGAACAGAATTTCTACAGAATACAACGAAAGATGGCGGCCATTTTAAAACCCCAAGTTTTGAAGGATGATGGCATGGAAAATAAAAGTAGCCAACTTTTTTAAACTCAGCAACTCAAGAATTAACAATGTTGAACGGTATTGTTATTCTAATATTTCCAGAGAGATATTGAGACTAATAGAACAAAACGTAATAAAAAATGGACGTTATTTTGAAAAAAATGGCCGCCATTTTGAATCTCAAGCTTTTTACTGATGACGTAGAAGAAAAAAATTGTACCAAACTTTTTTGAAATCAGCACCGCAAAATTGACAAAGTGATATTCGTTGTTCATTCTTCGAGACGAAGCAATTTCCGATTCCAGATAAAGATTAAAGAATTCAACGCTTAATTCTGATCAATTAATTCATTCGTTATTTTTTGGTTAGTGTATGCCATCACTCGATATATCGTTATCAATTACAAAAATAACAATAGTTTATATTGTAAATACGGCAACAGTAACTTCTAAAATTAGCACTAATTATTCTAATTCTTTACTTCTGTCAATCAAAAATTGAAAATCAACATTCTGACCAATCAGAATGCTCCGGTAACCCAGCTGCCGGGGAGAACTCGGAATGTGTAGTTTTTGGGCACGCGGTATTTCTAGCTTCCCTTTCTCTCGTGCCTGCGAATACCGCCTGCTACGCAGGCTAAGACACCATGAAAAGTTCGAAGATAAATAATATATAGTAAAAGTATTTTTAGTGTACCTCGATTTGCAAATTATTATTGGTTTGTAAAGTTTTAAAGTAAACGTCGTATAATTTATACTAGAAAATACATGCATGCAGAAACCCTCGCCTTGCTGATAAAACCATTGTATTTTCCGAACATGAAGTATCTAAGGTAGTTGTCATGGTAACACGATAATTATTTAAGAATATTCTTACAAATGAAAAATCGCCTAAAAATATCACTTTTAATTACAAAATTATTAATTTCCCAACACATATATGTTAGGTATGTTATTATACAGATAGATAGATAGATAGATAGATAGATAGATAGATAGATAGATAGATAGATAGATAGATAGATAGATAGATAGATAGATTAATAGATTTTACATGGCAGCCGAATTCGCTGAATTGCGTAAAATTATCAAAACTTACATATTACAAGCAAATTAAAAAACAACACATACATAATTACATATTATTGAATGTAATAGTATTACATATTATATGACATCAGCGCAAATTCAGTTATGTCCCCCACCGCCACCACCGCTAAATAGAGATCAACCAAAGTTTTAGCACAACTAAAAAAAAAAAACATGCATAAAACAAATGGTTGACGCGAGGCAACCTGAAAAAAATGGTGGTGGAAGTTATATCAGAACCCCACCAATATCCTTTTAAACTACTCCTTTGACATAGAAACGACAAAAGTGTTCCTAAAACGATTTGTTCGTGTGGTCGGACAGTCAAAAGGTCGCTGTCTTCTCAGATTATATGCTGAGATATTCTTGGGTGGCAGAAGATGGTGAAGTTTGTGCTCGGTATCAGATATAACTGATTGAAATAGTTTTTTTATAATTACACAGTTTTAGCCGCCTGTCTCTCAAGGAACAAAAATTCAATTTCATAAGATTGTCCGTATATGATAACCCCGGGGATATTATGGACAGCGCACGCTTTTGAATGCGCTCAAGGTCATCACATAAATATGCAGGGGAGCATGATGGAAAACAGGAGCACAATACTCGAGAACCGGTTTAAAAACAGTGCAGTAAAAATTGACAATATCACAAGCAGGGACGTTAGCACGCTTGAGCAAGATCAAGAAATACAAACGTTTATTCGCTTTCTTGATTGCTTCGTTTACATGGTCAACCCATTGGAGTGAACTGGATATGATAACTCCCAACACCTTGGCACTGCTAACCAGTTCGAGTTCTTTGGAGTTGATTGTGATTGCGTTAAACTGTTGTTTCTGTCTCTTGAAGTCAATGACCATTTCTTTACACTTGTCAGCATTCAGTTGGAGCTTGTTGACATTAGACCACCTCTCGACATCAGTAACGGCGTTTTGGATAAAGGTTTTGCCATTCCGTGGAACAACCTCAGCTAACGTGGTGTCATCTACATACTTCCAAGCATGCGCTTCAGATGGATTGAAATCATTGATCATTAACAGGAACAACCAGGGTCCTAGCTTAGTTCCCTGAGGGACACCAGATGGAACAGCACCCCATTGAGAGAAACAATCATTTGACAACTTTACACGTTGGAATCTGTTTGATAGGAAATCACACACACAGCGAGCTACACCAAATGGTATTCGAAGGGAAAGGACTCTGTCAACTAGAATTCGGTGGTCGATCAGATCAAAGGCTTTTTTATAGTCTAGCAATATGATCCTCTCTGCTGCACCTGTTCCATCTGTGGCAGACGTCCACGCATGCATCATGGATACAAGAGCCTGAGTAGTAGACGACTTCGGGATGGCACCAAATTGATTGGGATCGATGATTTCAAGAACAGCAGGTCCAACATAATTCACAACGATAAAGTCCTCAGCTAACTTCGATAGAGCTGATGTAGCGAGATGGGTTTTATATGCTTAGCAATTATTGAAACCGGTTTCGTCTTAGGCAGTGGTGTGATATTGGCATATTTCCATGATGATGCTGGAAGCGCTTGTTCCTCAAATGAACTGTTTAAGATGTTACAAACAGGGTTTGCAAGAAATTCTGCATATTCTTTAAGTAGCCAGTTAGGCAACTCGTCTGGACCACACGCTTTGCGGGGGTTTAACGTTAGTGATCTCGAATACACAGAATAAACATCAAGTTTTAATACCTCGGATTTTTCATCGAATGGCAGAAGACAGGCAAGTGGCTGGTATGCTTGCATGGGTTCGAGGAGAGAGGTGTTAATAAGGTCTGCTAGATACTTATTTGACTTTACATCAATGCCGTCAATGTGAAGCTGCGAGCGAATATCAACATTGGACGTTGCAGGGACCATCCCCGAGATATTTTTAACCTCGTTTCCATCACATGCTCGGTTTGGTATTTTTTAGGTTCGCAACTCTAGTGTTGTAATACCGGCTGCGAAGCTCCTTTCGCTGACGATTAACCACGATACGAAGCTGTCGATACCTGACTTGAACACCTTCAGCGTAGGCTTTCTGGCGTTGTTTGATCAAACTTTTGAATTCAGGGGTGACCCAGGGAGCGTCGTTGACGTGTAGTTTAACAGACTTTAGTGGCATGAGAATATCAACACCAGTTTTAATCAGATCTCCAAAAAGTAGTGACTTGTTTTCACATTCAGTGATGGAATCAACAACCGACCAGTCAATCGAGCTAAGATACCTCCCGAGTTCAAGTCTTCGGCTCAATCGAGTATCCCTCCGAGTCACGAAACGACAGCTGCAACTTCGAACGGTTCTTGATTTAGGCTTTAACAATAACACCGAAAGGTGGAAAGCTTTGAACTGAGTTCTTCTCATACAGTTGAGGCATGTTCGCAATAATGAGGTCGAGAGTCCGCTCACCTCTCGTTGGACCATGGACGAGTTGATTTAGCTTGAATTGCTTAAGGAGACGACTTACGTTCAAACCATTAAAGTTACCAGTAAGCAATATCCCACAACCAGGGTAACGTCCTTCGATAGTTATCAGCGATGAAGCGAGGTAATTCAACATCGTATTGTCTTAGGCGCCTACAGGATAGTGGGTGTGATACACAGTTTCAAATACTATACAAGGGATACCTCTGGGAAGTCGCGCGGGTTTGACGTATGTCCATAGCACCTCAAAACTAAACTGCCTTTTTAAAATGACTTTATCGATAAACTTTGAGTTTGCAATAAAATGATTTCAAATTCTCGCTTGTAAATAACTTTGCTTTCTTTTTTATTTAAAAAATTCAATATCATAAAAAAGGGAATCAATATTAGAGATAAACTAAAATTATATGCTGTCTTGTTTAGTTGTTTCATATACGCAAAGGCCGTCGGGTTTTAAATCCATTATAAAATCAATATTTAAAACAACCTTACCATCGTTAACATCGGCTCCCTTCTTTTAGCCGTTTTTTCGCAGTTTCTTTCTGAGAGAGCTTTTGAAATTTACAAAATCTTGCAAAAATGCGAGCAAAATTGAAATATATTTGCAAGAAATTTACAATCATCAAATCAAGAAAGGTTTGCTATTTCGCTGTCGTCATGCAGTCGTTATAATGCAAACTTTAAATTGGACCAATCAGGGTCCGCTATTCATGACAGTCCACCATATTTTTGAGGTCAGTGAGGATGACCACCCACCCAACATCGTTGGTCACCCACGCCCGCGATAATTGATGAACTTTAGACTTCGCTAATGCTTTCGTTTCCCCGGGTGTAAATAGCCGGGGGGGGATTAGTATTCTCGCACGGCGCTTCGCGCCGTCAGCTCGGGATTATAGCCACAATTATATTATTCTTCCCCAGACTCTTACGTTTTTCTTTTATTTCTTAAGGTGGTCTGCAAATACAAGTCGATGGCAATGTATTCCCTCCTAGTTCGAATGCAACAGCACTGGATAGTGGTATTATTCTATCTCTTGTCAACAACACATTTGAAATAGGAACACCGCTTGGAAATGGAATACGAATTAAAGAAGCAGCACACGGCACGTTTTTTACATTTGTAACGGCGTTCTTATCTTCTTACGAAAATTCATCAGTTGGATTAGCAGGGAAATGGAACGGCAACATGGATGACGACTTCACCCTACCGAATGGAACCGTTTTACCAATTAATATGAATGACTCAGAAATTTTTCATAATTTTGGTGAAGCATGTGAGTTTATTTCTAGTTATTACACACAGTCAATAGACCTTTCTTAAAATTCTGGCGTCAGTAAGAATGAATTATTTTGTGACGTCAAACGCGGGTAAGCGCTAAGTTGGTTTGCACTTCTTCCGCTTCCGCTTTGTTTGTTTTGATAAAGGAAAATCCCGCAAAAATGGTAAGTTGTATATAATTTATTACATTTTTTATGTTTTGTGAGCAAGATATGATGTTTTCATTTAATTATACGATGATATTTGCAAGATATATCCATTTGTTACATTATAAATGTGACTGTACAACAAAGCCGTCATGGCTACAGATACGACGACAAAAACAACTCGTATTTGGTTTGTGGCCGATTTTAAAAGCTCACGGCTTCGTATTTTAACATACTTTTGTATTTTATGAAAATTCAATAGTCTAACCATCGTGTTTGTGCTGTGCCACATTGCAAAGCCACTGGAAACTGCTATAATTTTGATACGAATTTTTTTCGATTTAGGTTGAACCACTGCAATGTACATGTACAAAGGTTTGTTTACTTTTGATAAGCGCTATTTTACATTTTAGCTTTAATGTTTTTGCCTTTTGGCACAGTCTGCCACAGGCTAAATGTAATGTCATGAGCATAGACAATGTGTTAATGTTCTATTTATATTTAATATATTGTGCATTTAGCTAACAGTTAAAGACATCCCAGGGTGTGAGATCGTAAATATAGACAGGGCCACCAAGAAGGAACTGACATTTTGGCTTTCGTGCAGAGGCCTCAAATTTAAATGTTCAGAAACCAAGGCAGAACTGTTATCAAGGTCACATAACAAATATTTTAACAGAGCATATTTCAATGAAGCTAATACCATGCCTCTACACTATAGAAATGCCTTATGTGATACTGTTGCTGAAGTTAAACCTATATTTGTTTTTAGATACAGAGTAAGAAACAACCTTACTGTTGTCCATGAGCTAGTTGATCCTGACCCAGGAAAATGCTACACCAAGAAGATGATATCAAAATGCGCAGCATGTTGTACAGAGCCAGAAGCTAACATCAATGAGGAAGCAAACAAAGATCAACAATGGACAGAGTCAATAAGCATCATACCAAAGTAGTTCTCCTTCGTTATATGCAAACATACACACAGAAAAGTGCAAAAGAAGGCAAAACCACAGAAAAACCAATAAGAAAAGGGTATAAGTTATTCTTTGAATACTATCATGTTTTTGATGTAGTTGGGCTAAATGTGGATAATTGCAGTATTAAAGGAAAGTGCTATCGATCCCCAAAAAAGTCACAAGTCCTTCATAACATGACTGTTAATCTGTCCAATAATGGAGACATTATGAATGCAAAATGTAATTGTGTAGCTGGAGCAAGTGGTTTCTGTTGTCATGTCATGGCATTATTATATCTCATTGACCATACTCTGAAACTAGGCTTGGAGACCTTTCCTAGAGTGGGTACATGCACTGATAATCCACAGCAATGGCATAAACCAAGAACATTAGGAATCAAGGCAGAACCTATCATGGGGATTAGTGTTATTGACCCTAAGCATGAGAAGAAAAGATTTTCAGGAATACAAAGCACACTTTTTGAACCTAGACAGGGTCCTGCACAAAATAGTAGTGGTACAAACAGTTTACATGAAAAAATTAATCAGCATTTTGCAAACTTAGGATTTGCAGAAGTATTCTCTGATGCAAACCTACGGTTCAGACAAAATTAGTTAAAATTATGCACTAAAGTACCCATAGGAAGTGTATTAAGCTACCAGCTCTCACTTACAGAAGGTAACATTCAAGTATTTACAAATATTCCAGCACTGTCACGCCCATTAAGTATCATTAATACATTTCCTGATTTACCATATTCTGAATATCAAACAGTCTCCTATTATGAACCATTGCAAGCGGAAGAGGATAGCTTTATTCATGAAACTCTACCTGTTACGAATGCAACGATGATTGAAGGGGAAACTAGAGGCCAAAAGGATAATGCAAAATGGTTTGATATGAGAAAAAATAGAGTTAGTAGTAGCAATTTTGGGCAAGTGTGTAAGCGTAAGGATAATATATCGCAGGAGAAGCTGGTTAGCCAATTAGTGAATGGAAAGGATATTTCTCATATTCCTGCTGTAAACTGGTATCGATAATGAGAGTAATGCTGCAAGTATATAATTATGCAAATTATATACAACCTTTGCAGATTCTGGATTGTGGTGTAGTAATAAGCCCCAAAATGCCCTGGTTATGTTCTTCACCTGACAGAAAGGTCATTGATAGGGATTTTGGGTTTGGGCTCATGGAAATTAAGTGTCCATATACTTTAAGAAACGTCAGACCTGAAGATGCGTGTAGGGACCCAAGTTTTTATTGTGAAATAGTTGAAGGCAAACCTAGATTAAAACGCAAACATGATTATTATTATCAAATTTAAGGCCAACTTGGAGTTTGTGGTCTTGCATGGTGTGATTTTGTGATGTTTTTCAGAAGGGCATTATAATTGAAAGGATTAAATTTGACAATGAATTTTGGAATAAAATGACTGCACAGTTAACTGTTTTTTATCATGTACATATACATTATTTATTGAGGTAATAATTGTAAAATTTAAATATGTACATACAATAATGCACTGTAAGTGTTAATAATTGTAAATGTAAATAATTTCAATCTGTAAATTACGTAAATCGAATTAAAATGCAAAAAACCTGAATTATTAAAATAACGATCAATTTTATATACATACTGTCTGCGTAAAATGTCTTCCATGCTGATTTGAGAACTCAATCGAACCACGGATCAAACAACAGATATGTAAACCTCGATGTAAAGGCACTACTGTATGCGTCCGTGCTATTTTAAGAGCGGTCGTAAAAATCTGAAACTTAATATAATCAAATAATTGCAATGCAAATCTGTCAATTCACAACCAACGTAGGAAAAATGATTTTTCCCGTAAAAGCGCTTCATGTAAAGTTATTGTCCACCTTAGAAGTAAGAGGAACACACTCACTTACATTCTGTCCAGTTTATTAGTATCTTTGCTCGTGTCTGCCAGGGATTAATGACATGAAGTTAAGACCGCTAAGCGGTTAAATAACATGGTGAAGTACTCTTTCGACTTCGTATCATCGTTCATGACAAGAAACGTTCTCAATAACTTGAATAAAGGTCAAATACGTCAAGATAAAAATAGGTTACGTGTCAAGATAAAAATATATAAAAAGTTTATAGTCTTGAGTTTTTGTTTATACGTGGAGTCTGCGAAAGTTGAAATCACCGATTGGCGATTCTATGAATATCTACTCTAAATGGCTACTTGCGGGTACTCGAGATTTGTCAGCGGGCAGTGCGGTTCAAGTAGGGATTATCCCGATGATCTTTCCTGTTTGACAATCGAAAACTGTCAGCGAAAGATCAAAGGGCACCTTAATTTCTTGGATGTCAGAGATGCAAATTTAAAGACCGAGGCACAGCTTCTATTAGCTCGAGCAAACAAAACCAATATATTTGCTGGCACAACATTCGTTAGTCATGTCACAAACTGCTATCGATGGTTAGCATTTGACACATTTGTATCATGGCCATAGAACTAATACATTCTTTTGCGATGTAATTATTATTATTAATACAAATTAGTCTTATACCTATAATATAACATGAATCTGCTCAGTGGCGTAGCTGGCTGAAAAAAATCGTCCCGCCGAAGGCGGACCCCTCGCACCGAAGGTGCAACCTTCCTAGAGGGGTTCGGGGGCATGCCCCCCCGAGAAAATTTGAAATCTAGAACCGCGGAAATGGCATTTCCTGCGATTTCGAGGGTGGAAGGATGCCACTAAACAAAGTTTCCATACACCTCTAACAGGAGTATTTTCGCTTCGTAAAATACAAAAAATGCCATCTGGCCCAGAGAAGATCTGTGTGAGCTCAGAGAAGTGCTGTGCTGGGCAAAAATATTGCCTTCTGCACTGAGTACTGCGTATAACGTTATACCGACCGCGTATAATGTCTCAATCACCGCGTATAATGCTAAAAGCACCTCGTATGTCTCAAACACCGCGTATATTATCAAAAATAAATGTCTCAAGCACCACGTATAATGTTAAAAGTACCTCGTACAATGTTGCGTGTAGCCCATATATCTTGATATATGTCAAAATCGTCGCGTATAATGCTCGAACTCGAAGTGTAGCACCGCGTATGATGTAAAGAGCACCTCGTATAACGATAAAAGCACCACATATATAATGCTAAAAGCAACGAACGAAATGAAATTCCGCTGTGGCTTTCCATAAAGCTCGTCACGCTCGTTGAAGCCAATGTATACAAATCACAAAAGCAACATCAAATATGATATGAATAGTAATATGATGACCTACCACCGTCACAGTCGTGAATACTCGCGCAGAAAGCTTCGTCAGAATGGTTTGAATATTAACAACCTCCGCCTTCATAAAATAGCGGGACTTCGGCATTAAAAACAACCGTTCTGGGCATGCGCTGCGCCAATTATCCAACCAGAAATCAGAATTTCTTGTATAAGATAGTATTGCGTATCCCGCCACATGAAAATCAGCGGAACACGAGACATGCGATTCACGAATAGCGTGAGTAAGCAATAAATTGCGTGGAAATTAGCTAATTCTACAGGGTATCAGTTACTAGACAACAAAGAAGTCAAAGAGCAGACAGCAATATTGCGTAAACTTTAAATAAATGACAAATGAAAGCGCTGAAAAATTACCATAATTATATTTAAATTTTCAGAATAAGCAAATTAGCAGTGGTTTTGGCTTCACTATAAAACATTTACACATTTTTTTGGAAATTGTTAGTCCCGCCCGGCGGGACAGCGGGACCGCTAACTACGCCACTGAATCTGCTTGAGTCGGATCTAAAGGAAAGTATCTCTATGTAGTAGTGTACTACCCTTCCCCTCCTCCAACACTGCTAAAAATTAACTAATTAATTAATTATTATAAACGATTATGGCCACTCTCCTCCGTAGAGTCAATTATGTAAGATTGTGGAAATAATATAGGACATTCGACACAGTGGTGCACGACGGAGGGGGGTGAGGGGGGCGAGGGGGGCTGGTGAGACCAATGTTTGACTTCCGTTATACCTAGCGCGTTTTGACTAACAATTACGTAATTTGTTTCCCAGTAATATTACGTAATTTTACTAAAAATTTGTAAGGCGGAAGAGAGTGGATTATGGCGATGGCTGTCTCCTGGCTAGGCTAGTGATTACATGCGCAGTATCAAGTGCACCAAAACGTACAATTGACGCTCGCTGATTTTGCAGTCAACTCGTATTTATAGGCTTATTCGATGGCACTCACGTGCAACTTAAGATAACTGTGTGTCCGCGTCACCGGGATTTGTATGGCATAAGATGGCGCACATGCAAAAAGATGTGCTCTGCAGTGGCGGCGCCAGCCTTTTAAAAGTGGGGGGGATTTTCGAGCGGTGAAGGCGCGAGACACTTCTAGGGTGGTCTGGGGGCATGGCCCCCCGGAAAATTTTTGAAATCTAGAGTCCCTGAAATGCGATTTCCTGCATTTTCAGGGTGAGATTATTCAGAATTCCGAAAATTATAAAGTAAAAAAACACACGATTTCTTCATGACTATACGTATATATAATACCTACAAATGCAGTATTACATCATAGTCAAAAGAATAAGGATAGGGAACTCGATGCAGACATACAGTAAAAGACCTCATTATCTATGTTTTTGTCTGGTTTATGCAAGGAACGATCGGTTCATCGTCATGTTTAATTACCCGGTCGTAATATTACACAATAGCTAAACAAAAACATAGTAACTATTGGTTACTTTAGCAAAATAAAAATACAATACACACATGACGATGAACCGACCATTTTTTTTTGCATAAACTAAGACAAAAACATAGATAGCTCTATTATGTCTGCATCGAGTTCCCTAACCTTCTCATTATATTGACTACGATTACATTGATTAACAGCTGCCTAAAGGAATTGCTACTTCCAGGAAAATTGAAGTCAACATTATTTTATATTTAAATACAAATGGAAATAACTGTTAGGTAGAATAATAATGGCTATATGTTATCGTAGATCTCCTTGCATGACAAGCTTATGAGGTTTTGCAAGCTTAAATATTTCCACTAATTTGCTAAGTTCGATATTGTTGGCTAGATCTCGTTCGTTGCTAATCTGGACAAGGTCCTCGAGTCTATCAGGTGACATAGCAACTCGCAAATTATTGTTTATTATTTTGACCTTGCTGTGTGTGCGTTCACATGATGCCACTGTCACAGGCAAGGTAGCGACCTCAAACAAGTCGGGATGAAGGTGGTGCAGATCATCTTTGCTGAAAACTTTGAGCAAGGAGGGCAAGCAAATCCAAGGTGGAAACTTTCTTTTGGACCCTTTCCTTAGACTCTTTCCTTTCCATCTCTTCGCTGCTATGATGCTCGTATGTAATCTTGCAGTTGTTACATTGAATATTCCAGTCATATATATGTACTCTTCGTACCATTTCTTTTGGAATGTAAACTTTCTCATCGATATTTCCGATGTTGAAAAATCTAAGATAGGTCTAACCGTCAAGATTCGAAAACGAAGGTTCTATTTGCCTCCCTCACACACAATTTCACTTGATGGATCTCTTCCTTCGAACATTTTTCTCTTTCAGTTGTGTAGTGATGCATTCCAAGAAGCTAATGACCATATGTTGCGCAAACAGTGCATTAATTAACATATCTCCCTCACATCTCAACAGCAGGACCAAACTTCCGCATCATACATTACCCATTGCACTTAATTTGGGTAATATGTTAACTCATTATGATGGGTTTCCTTCGGCGATCGTAATCAGTGCCTGCAATATGCTAATGGTAAATGCCGCATATATGAAATGGTCTTTTGTCAAAAGTAAAGCGAAGATCTTTTATTACAGGTTTTTATCCACACAATAAAGACTGAATTTATTAAGTTATATCTAAATAACTGGACTGATGTCACAAACGTACCCCCCCCCAAAAAAAAAATTTCTCACCGGATTTGGACAAATTAGAAAATCGACCTTGAAGAGAACTGGGGGGGCGTGTCCTCCCCAGTCCTCCCCGTGGCGCCGCCACTGAACTCTCAGCTGGAGATTTCGTGGATATCACTCCAACTAGATGCACAAATACCGATAAGGTGGTTGACAGAGACGCCGATGATGACGATGAAAATGAGGTTGACGCAGACGGGAAAGAGAAGTCCCCAAAACTGTTTAGCTGTCCCGCTGAGGGATGTATCAAGAATTACCATCGATATTCATCCCTTGAAACCCATTTGGAATGCGGAGTATGCAAGCTGCAGCTGGAAAGACAAAGCCTTCTTGACAAGGCCAAGGCTATGTATGTGGAAAAACTATTGCATGGAGCTGGAGAACAGCCTGTGATGAAATGTTCTGATACTCTTCTTGTCAACCGAGACGACATGCTGCCTCAGGGGTGGGCACTAAGAACCACTAAATCTAGCAAGCGCTTTAACAAGAGGTAGAAATCCTACCTTAATGAGAAGTTTAACATTGGCAACGAGACGGGGCACAAACTTGATCCCGTGACAGTGAGCCAAGACATGCGTTTCGCCAAAGATCAAGACGGAAATAGGCGTTTTACCCTGAATGAGTTCCTGACCCCCCATCAGATACAATCATACTTCTGTCGAAAGGCGTCGAAGCAAAAAAGCGGCAAGTACAGCCAGTGGACAGGCCTGAAGACAGAGTTGCAGCCGAAGACCAGGAGGCCTATTCTAATACACGATGTACCGTTATAAAGGAGTGCCAGCTGATACACCCAATAGTGTACGATTCGTACAACCTCTGTAATTTGGTTGCTAAAAAAAGCTTAAAGAAATTCAGTGTCTCCCTCCTCCGTGTAATCTGTGAGCATTTCCATATCGATGTTTCTGCAATAACTGCCCACTTAAAAGCTCCTTATATAGCTTTGATTAACGATATGGTTCAATCGTGCAGCTGTTCAAGCTAATGGGCTGCATGTCATGCTTATTCACTATTAAACTGGACAGAATGCAAAGTGAATGTGTTCCTCTCAGCTCGATATGGACAATAACTTGGTACGAAAAACATCGTGGGCAATTTGTTTTCTTCTTACAACGCGACAGTATGCTTTTACATGTAACATGTATTTGAAGAGGAGGAATCGGATTCCCAGCTTATGTGACCAACGAGAGACACATCAAAGACGCAAAAAACAACACACAATCGATCAAATATATTTATTTCTACAATGTCAATGAACGAATGATATAAAATCGATAAACGATGATGATGGTTCTAAATAAACAATAAAGGTTCATCACAATCTATACTTATCCCAAGCAAAAAAGTCATAAATCAAATGTTTTACCTCGTATTTAGGCCACTTCCACGTACAAAAAACTACAAACTATATATTGTATATGACCAACCACATGGAATAAACAACTGCCCCTAACACATCCGGGCATCTACATAAATTATCATAAATTACCGTCTCGATCCTATATACCAGCCCCAAACGACCTACTATACTGTCGTTCAAAAATTATCAAAAAGGATCGAGATCCACAGTTCTATCGATTACCAATATTCACTTGCGCAAGTATAAAGTTTTCTCTTATTTCAATTGTCGTACTTCTCACAACTTCCAAAACAACGTCATCACCAAGCTTGTCCGATAAAGTAAGATTGAACAAATAAAATTAACATCAACAACATATATAAACTGTTCGTAATAGAGTTTCTTTAGTCCCGTTACTCCGAGTCGGATTTCTCCAGTAGACACAATTTCCTAACATCACGTCGATATTGAGTCTGATTGGCTGCACGAATCAACATTTGTCTAACATGTCCATTCTTATCTGGATACGATTCTTCAACTGCTGCTAGAGGCCATTCACCTCGTGGAGAATCCTCCTTCACCATCAATACAATATCTCCTTTGGTTAAATTTCGTCTGGGAAACAGCCATCTCTGCCTCTCCTGTAAGCTTGGCAGGTACTCTTTCAACCATCTTGCCCAGAATTCGTCAGCTAATTTGTGCGCTAACTTCCATTTCTCTCGAAGGTTATGAGTCGACGCTGAGGTGTTTGCCGAACTACTTCGATTTCGATAACTTAGGAGTAAGGTGTTGGGTGTCAGAGCTGCCAAATCACGAGGGTCGTCACATTGTCGTGTAAGAGGGCGATCGTTGATCATTTTCTCTACTTCACACATCACAGTTAGGAGAGTTTCGTCGTCAACCAGTCGATCACCGACAAGAGCACGCATATTCTTTCGAACCGTTCTGATCATTCGCTCCCATACCCCGCCGGTGTGACTTGCATATGGTGCAGAGAAATGCCATTGAATACCTTGCTTCCTGAGGCGATCCAAGATCTTTGTTTGATTCCAATTCTGTAACATCTGCTTAACTTCGGCTTCTGCTCCACGGAAATTAGTTCCATTGTCGCTGAACAATTCTTTAGGTGGGCCACGTCTGCTAACGAATCTGGACACCGCTTGAATGAAAGAATCCGTTGAAAGGTCGTGAGCAATCTCGATGTGTATGGCTCTTATGGCTAAACAGGTGAAAACGCAGCCATAACGTTTTACAGTTCCTCTTTTATATTTCACTTTCAGAGGGCCAAAGTAATCGATACCCACGGATGAAAACGGAGGTTCGCCTGGTGTGACTCGGGCTTCTGGAAGTGGTGCCATAATCTGTTTACCTGGCGGTTGGTTTCGACGACGACAAGCTACACACTCGTTAATGATATTCTTTACCGTGCTTGGCCCTTTCACGATCCAATATTTCTGTCGAATTGCTGCTAAGGTTTGGGTTGTTCCAGCGTGACCTTCTTTCACGTGATAGTAACGCACGATAAGCTTCGTGACGTGGTGGTTGCAGGGAAGAATGGCAGGATGCTTCGACTCTTCTGGTAATGACGACTTTTCCAGACGTCCACCAACTCTCACGATATCTTCGCTAATAACTGGACTTAATTTAGCAAATCGTTCCTTGGAGCTTTGCTTGTTAATCGATGCTTCTCTCTGAGTAATCTTTACTATTTCTACGGCTGCCTGTTCGATTTCTTTAACCTTTAATGGACCGCGTGGCACGTCCGATTCTGGAACCTTTCCACATCGAGACAATAAATACTGCTTGAATCTTAGCAGCCATGCGACCGACTTCTGTAATCGATACCAACACGACGGTCGATGGATAAGACGACTTAACGACTCAGGAATTGCGTTCTCAGATACAATGACAGCACCAACATTCGCCTTGTTTCTTTTTACCTCCACGTCTGTGTCGTCTACTTCGGGTAGATCACTTGGTTGCTCCGGCCACGATCGGTAATCTTGCCACAAGAAATCGGGACCATTGAACCAAAATTTCAGGTTGCGCTCATCTCGATCTGTACCACCGATGCTCAGACCTCTCGATGCAAGGTCTGCTGGATTCAACTTAGTTGGCACGTGGCGCCACTGACAAGGAGACGACGCATCATGGATGATCTGAAGTCGGTTTGCCACGAAGGTTTGAAACCTTTTCGACGTGTTAGCGATGTAGCGAAGTACTATGGTGGAGTCCGTCCAAAAGATAACACGATCAATGGGTATATCTAGCTCTTCGCGAATCTGTTTATCTACTTTCACAGCAAGGGTTGCGGCGGTCAGTTCCAGTCTCGGTACCGTGACTGTTTTCAGGGGGGCCACTCTAGCTTTACCCATAACCAAGCTACAATGAATCTTTCCACACGTGTCTTCTAAGCGAAGGTATGACGCTGTACCATATCCACCGGTCGACGCGTCAGCAAAGTGGTGAAGCTCCGCACTCTTTATTTCTTTGAATCCTGGAGGTTTGTAACATCTTGGAATTTCGGTTGTTGTAAGCGACTGGGACTCGTTCTGCCAGGTTTGCCATTCCGTGCTGATCTCTTTCGGAAGTTCTTCGTCCCATCCACGACCACTTCGACAAAGTTCCTGTAACATACGCTTCGCTGGCAAAACAACAGGAGCAACTAAACCGAGTGGATCATAAACAGACGCGACGAAGGATAAAATTCCTCTTCTGGTTTCTGCTTTGAGGTTTCCATTACGAAATCCTAGGCTGTCCGTTTCTGTGTTCCATTGAACACCCAACGCTTTATCCTTTGGTAAATGTTCCAATTGCAAACTGACGCATGGCGCTCTTTCGTTATCTGGCACGTGGGATAATACTTCTCTTTCATTCGACAACCATTTGGTAAGTCGGAACCCGCCGCGAGACAACAATACCGGGAGCTCTTCCACTAAATTGACAGCTTCTTCTTTAGTTGGTAACGATTTCAAGCAATCGTCTACATAAAAGTCACGATTCACCGTGTCAATGACTTGCTTACTGAAGTCCTGCTTATTATCTTCGGCGGTCTTCTTTAATGCATACGAACAACAACTTGGCGAAGATGTTGCGCCGAACAAATGAACGGTCATTTGGTGTTCAACTGGTTCTTTCGACAGGTCTCCTTCTGGCCACCACAGAAATCTCAGCGCTTCACGGTCTTGTTCCTTGACGTTGACTTGATGAAACATCTTCTCTATGTCAGCCATCACAGCTACTCTTTCTTGACGGAATCGCAACAACACGCCAACTAACGAATTTGTAAAGTCGGGTCCTTGAAGTAGGTGATCGTTGAGGGATGTATTGTGGTACTTTGCAGCACAGTCGAAAACAATTCTCACCTTCTCTGGCTTTTGTGGATGGGTCACAGGGTGATGGGGTAAGTACCAGATCGGTTTCTTAGGTGATGAACCATCCGGATTATCGCCTTCATTCGGTTGAACTCTCTTGGCATGTCCCTTCGAGATGTATTCCTCCATTGTCGCCTTATATTTAGCATGAAGGGTGGGATCTCTCTCCAGTCTTTTCTTCAAATAGCCCAGTCTCTTTTCTGCCATAGATCTATCATTCGGTAAGGTTGGTTCACTATACTTCCATGGAAGGCCAATCTCGTAGTGCCCATCTTTAAGTTTAACGGAACTGTCCATCATTGCCTTCGCACGACGGTCTTCGATCGAAAGACATTCCTTCAGGTCGGCTGTCGATTCACTAAACTCAGAGTTATATAGACTTTCTAATTGCTCATGAATAGAACTCATGCCCTTCACGTCTTCTTTGCAACCGAGCGCTTGGTCAACATGGATACAGTTTAACTGAGCTTCCTGGTAACTGTTTCCCTTCAGAGGTCCCATCACCGTCCAGCCTAAAATTGTTCTTATTGCATGAGGTTGGTTCTTCTTCCCCGCACGTACTTCAAGAGGACAAAGAGCTTCCGGGACGTCACTTCCAATCAGAATGGTTACCTTCTTATCCACTAAATCACTAATGTCAACATCCTTAAGATAAGACCAATCTTGCACGTCACTAGTCGTTGGAATGCTCTCTGGGGCTACTGGTAAACTATCTGTTGTCCACACTTTATTTAATCTAACACCCTTTCCAGTGGCTACTCCGACAACATCGAGAGACAATTGTTGGCCATTTCGTTTCTGGTTTCCCGACACAGTTGACAAGGTAAACTCAACAGGCGTACAATCAGCACCAAGATCTTCAGCTAAGCTGGACAAGCACATAGTCGTGTTTGACCCACTGTCCAAAAACGCATAAGTTTCAATAACGTGATTACCATAAGGTGCACTGACCCTGACAGGAACAACTTGAAGGCCAATACGATAGCTGCGAGACGAGGAATTTGTTGCACCAACACCAGATAGATTATGTCCACCAGATTGCATATCTTGCGTAGACCGGTTGTTCTCAGGAGCTGAACCGGACTCTGCACCAGGATCTGCTTGGGGAGGTTTGACTTCCTTTTCGGACGAATGCAGTAAAGGGTGGTGTCTTCTTTGGCAACCTTCAACACCGCACATGCGAGCCCCTCTGCAATTCTTTACAAAGTGTCCCGGGCTGAGACAAGCATGACAAACTCTCTTAGACTTTATTAAATCTCTCCTCTGCTGAAGATTCTGAGCTCTAAACTTGTGGCAACGTTCAAGATGGTGGGAACCTTTGCACAGGACGCACAACAAATTTCTGCCTTTCGACTCGTTACCAACATCTTCTACATTCTGTCCGTATGTCGCCAAACTTGTGTTGTTTCCTTTAAAGAAGGGTGGGTTTCTCCTTCCTTTATCTCCACCGTCCTTTCTCATATCAACTTTCGAACCGATGATCTGACCAAAATAGGTATTTGCTACTGCAGCACGAGATTGAACAAACTCTGTTAAGTGGGAGAAATCTGGTGTAACATGCTTATCATATAGCTGGCTTGCTTTCTCTGCCCATTTCGACCTCAAATGAACAGGTAGCCGACTAACCACTTTCCCAAGAGTGTCGATGGAGTTGATGTTTGCCCCATTACCCAACTGAGTGGAACCGAGAAGACATGTTTCCATGTCTCTTGCTAGCTGCGACAACTTCTCATTTTCACTGACTCTGATAGGTGGACCAGCAATCACTTTATCCAGGAAGGATTGTGGTTACTACATGATTTCGACCAAAGTTTTTTCTCAGTATTTCTTTCGCACGTTTGTATCCCTCTTCTGGCGGCATGATGATGCAATGTTCTATTGCTTGCCTCGCCTTTCCTTTGCAGTATTGAATCAGGTAGTTGAGTCGATCTGCATCATTGCTTTCTTTACTCTCTACATTTACTTCGAAATTTTTTATGAATAGTGGAAAGTTTCGTGGTTCACCATAAAAACTCATATACTCCCGCTGTGGCATTCGCAGGCCTCTGACTACCTCGTCCATCGTATTTTGTTGTCTTTCTAATAAATATTGTAATTGACCTGGACTTTCGTGCAGTGGATTTTGTGGGATGGTATCACTAATACTTGTATTTTGAGGTTGTTGACTGCGATAATCGGAACATTGTCATTGCCACTCCTGCTATCCTTATCTCTTTGTAGGGGCCTGGTACTAGCACCATACATTTCTTCTAACTGACGTAATTCGGCTTGTTGTCGCTCTATTTCCCTTCGCTTCACTAGTATTTCATGCTCTGCTTTAGCTCGATTCATTTCCATTTCTAATTTAAGTTTTGCATCATGCATTTGTTTATCTAATTCCTTTCTACGCGCGTTTTCTATTTCTTCCAGTTCGCGCCATCTTTCTGCCCACATTGAATCAAATGAACTCGATGCGCCAGCCCCATTTTCCTCATAACTCACTAACCGAGCGTTATTTTCCCTCGCGGGATCGCTGCGCGTGGGTTTCACGCGTGTTTGTTCGACCGTGTTCACTTCACGAATATTATCACGCGCGGAAATACTTTGCGTGGCGCCCACGCGTGTCGATAATTTTTCCGTGTTTTTATCGCGAATTTTATTAATGTTAGACTCAAAAACAGCTGCTAAAGGCGATAAAACTGGGTTTTTCTTCGAAAAAGAAGCAATTTGACTCAGACCCACCTCAAGCTGTCGTTGTTCTTAATCTATTTGCCCTTCTCTTGAAGCAAAACTCGTCGTAGCCTCGCCAGAAGCGACAGATAATGGGCTTTGCAATTGAACAACATCCGTCGTATTTTCGGACTGATCGACATTGTTATCCCTCACAAATACAGGTGAATTTTGAGATTCTAAAACGTTTGCATTGTCTGACTGTTCCGTCTGTTCTTCCTCAGACTCTACTTGATTGGCTTGCGAAGTAGGACTTAATTCATGGTCTGCCGGCGACGTCTGTGACTTCGAAACCCCGTTCGAAACACTAGATTTCCTGGCTCGAGACTTTCTCTTCTTTGTCATGGCGTTGATCAGTTAAAATAATCGTCGAATACGAGAACTATATAAGCTATAAACGATTCCCAGCTTATGTGACCAAGGAGAGACACATCAAAGACGCAAAAAACAACACACAATCGATCAAATATATTTATTTCTACAATGTCAATGAACGAATGATATAAAATCGATAAACGATGATGATGGTTCTAAATAAACAATAAAGGTTCATCACAATCTATACTTATCCCAAGCAAAAAAGTCATAAATCAAATGTTTTACCTCGTATTTAGGCCACTTCCACGTACAAAAAACTACAAACTATATATTGTATATGACCAAGCACATGGAATAAACAACTGCCCCTAACACATCCGGGCATCTACATAAATTATCATAAATTACCGTCTCGATCCTATATTCATTATGTTTGGTTTTTTAGTGTGCATGAACACTATTAAGTTAAAGGAGGAAGCATTTATAATGCAGGTACATTATTTGATAATTCTGAAGACCATCCAGAGTCAACAGGTGTATATAGAAACAAGTAAATAGAGACCCATATTTTCACTGGAAATAAGAACCATTTAAATTCAACTCAGCCCGATTTTCACAGAACCAACTTTAAAACGAACTGCAGTCGAACTTTGCAACATACATTCCGAACTTACAAATAAACATTGGTGGTCAGATTTCAAAGACAAATTGACAGTAAGATGTAATTTTATTGTTGGGGATGGGTTGGTGCTTTAGGGGTTGGTGCTTTAGGGTTTAGGCTCAATTCCTGCAGAAGGGTTACATAAAGTCACAGCAATTTGAAAATTAATTACATGGCTTGACAAAATAAATTCTATTCAGTCACGAAAATAGGTAGATGCATTTATTTATAGCACATGTTTTTTTAAGTTTAGATCGATATAGGTAATGAGAACCATATTGGTGTCCTACACAATAAAAAGGCAATATTGCTATTTTGAGGGAGTTGCACAAGTGCACATGACTGATATTGTTTTCTTATAGATACACACCTACTTAAATTAAATGATTTTTCGTTTTTGTTTGGCAATAAAGTGAAAGGTAAAAATTCTGAAAAAATCTAAAAAGTTAGCCAATTTAAATAACACCATTTCTATAACTTGCTAAACCTAGTCAGTTACGTTATATGTAAACAACGAGTTTGAGTGTTTCATCAGGGGATCCAAACACGAGAAAACTGTATGAAACACGAGCGCGAAGCGCGAGTGTTTTACTGTTTTCGAGTGTTTGGTCCCCTGATGAAACACGAGAAACGAGTTGTTTACATAACATCTCGAACGAAAACATTATTAAACTGGATAAACACGGGAATAGAAGTTATGGTGTGTTCTGCACATGCGTATATCTAGGATAAAATCCCACAAGCGCAAACGAAACTATTTCTCTATAAAGTTGAGCTGAAAGGACTCACAGTGACCGTTTTGGCAGTGCTTCAGGCGCCCGATGATATTGTATGAGGGGCCTTTAGCACTGTCAACTTCTCATCTTGAGATGTTCACGTTATCGCGTGTACTTGTCAGGATGACGAAGGATTGCGAATAATGTCTGTGTAGTGTGTGCACTGATACACACGCTGCTTTATTTTTAATAATGCTGTGTGCACGCTGCATTGTTTTTAATAATGCTGTGTGCACGCTGCATTATTTTTAATAATGCTGGGTGCTATTTTAGCTTCTCGACATTCGCTGATACAATGCAGAGAGAAAACAATAGGTTATTATGACCGTCAGTAATTATTATAGTATATTGTTGTGTTTTGACTTGAATTTGTAATTAGGATCTCAGTTATTAGATGAAAACCGTTTTTCATCTAACAACAGTGATGGTATATGATTTTTAGCGTGTTTCCTTGCGGTATCCAACCTCAATCATGTGACGAATTAGGGTGAGTTCATTCGCTAATTTGCTCATGAATTATTAATGAGTTCGAGATTATTATATCACAAACATCTGTCGACATACACTCATGCCCCTCCTTACCACTTGAGTTCCCACTCACCACATCCCTTTATGAAAAATTTTGGATAAAATCCTATTTTAAAAAAGTCAACCCTATACTTTATATGCTGAACATAGGCCTCTAAGATATCTCATGCAGCAATTAGTGGGTGCAAATAATATAGCCAACATCACATGTGCCCATCCAGTTCCATAGTCTACATCAATTGCTATTGCACTTGGGTCCATTGGATTCAATGGTTTTGGACGTATTCTTACATTCACTGGTTTATCTTGTCCATGAATTGCAAGGCATGCCTGTTACAAATGATCTTGGTAATGTTTCTCATGAACAGCACCAATGCACTTGAATGGCACAGCATGGGTGATTTCGTCCTCGTCACTTTCATCCTGATCACTTAACTGGTCACCACTTTCTGCCCTATCACCTTCATTACCATATCCATGCTGACCAGGTTCAAGACCAGCCAACCACTGAACCACTCAAGTAGATCTCTTTCTACAAAATCATAACAAGAAAATTTTTATTTTATTATTTTATACATACACTGTAATCTCTAAAATTAGCAATCTAATGCAAAAGTGTGTCACTATTTACAGTAATATTAGAACAACACACAAATATTATTTTACAGATGAAAATTGAAAAATATACTATACTGTATGCACATATATGTAAAAATCTATCCATACAAACAGGCATCATACTTCAGCAAAAATGTATTAAACAATTCGTTTAACTCAAAACATGTACATATGTATCACAGTGACACAGTACATATACACACACTATAGGGTCAAACTAGAGGCATTGTAAACACAAGTATGACGCCATATTTATATTAAAAGTACAAGAATAAAAACAACAAAGCGGAAATTTGACTATAAAATAACACGATAACTGTAATGCAATTGTAGTATACCAACCTTAAATACTGCGCTTGTTTTCACGTTGATGATACACAGATATTTAACGCCATCCAACTTAGAAAGAAGAGCCTCGCTATTGGGAATACAGTATGTGGCCCAGTTTCGGGTCAGTACCAGTAGCGGGTCAATAGAAATTTGATTTCATTTTTTTTCCGCCGAGATAAAAAGCGACGCGAAATGAAATATATAGATATAATGTTGAACCTTTCCTTTTTGTGGATGATAGTTTTCGCAGGCTTTTTAGTTAACTGTATTCAAAGAAGAATCCCTTTTGTCCGGGTATGTTTATATTCTTTTACTAAAATTTGTTCATTTCACTGCGCAGTAAAACTAACTAATAACAATAAATCGTATTATTGATATGAAATTCTCCATGTAACTGCCCAATTTTGTCCTAACGATAGATTATTGCCGAGAATATATAAATATGAAATGGCAATTCAATTATTCAGAATTTCAGAGATATATTCTGGTCCCACAAGTTACGTTTTAGTTTGCTTTGTGGCCCAGTTTCGGGTCAGCTATGGTTTCAACCTTTGAAAGTGGAAGCACTGCTTAGAACGCACTCCGCAAAAACTGTGTAGAAGAGGTAGTTTCAAGCTGGAAATATCATGTCTAAACCTTGTCAAAACCTCACAAAAAAATTGTTAATAACTTAAGACATGTTGAAACTATACAAAATGATCGAAAATTGCCGTAAAACAAACGCTTTTATACAATAAACAAAGAAACTTGAAGTGACCCGATACTGGTGCAGTTGACCCGATACTGGGCACCTAAAATGATTCTTAAAAATATAAATAATTCTAAAAATGAAAGGTAAGAAAAGTCAATCTTTTGAAATATTGTTAAGAAACACCTTTCCTATTCTCAAGTGAGCATTTAAAAATCGTACCTTTCCTGAAAAGGAAGATATAGCAGTTCAAACCTGAAATGACCCGGAACTGGGCCACATACTGTATATAAAATTAAACACAATTCCTTTTCTCAGACGGATTATTTGTAAAGCTAAAATGACAACACGTCCCATGCAATTTAAAAAAAGGTAAACTTGATATAGTAAAACACAAGTCATAATGATGATCGCAACAATACAGCAATAACATGCTGTTTTCACAAAATATCGCAGCCTGACATTCTTGTCGTTCGAAAGCTTCCATATTGGTTTTGTAGTCAGAGAGATGTTCACTCCTCGACAGTCAACAGTCAATGAAAGCCACGCGTGGAATTAGGCGCTCAATACCCATGATGCTTTGCGGCCTGCTGTCCAACCTCCTCTGACCCGGCGTACTTATCGATAAAAACCGATCATCGGAAATCCAATCGATCAATCGATGGTAATCGATGTTAATTACTTAATTGATATCAGTTCACATTGATCAACCGATGGCCAATCGATAGTCACAAAGTATTATAGCCAATTTTATCGATTATTCTCGATATTCATCGATTTTCATCGACAAAATGCTTTCGATTTTTATCGATTTATATTCTAAATAATCGCCGCGTGTCGACGTGTTCGAGCTAAATGGTAAATCTGTTCTCATTTCTTGAATGTACACATGATCTTCTCTACAATATTTAAGTTCTGTTAACAAGCATTTAAAATTTTGTTTAACCTGGTGACTTATTTCAATACATCAAAAATCATCCCACCCTCCATCATGTAAACAGCCCAGGAAGTAGGAAAAGTGCAATTTGAATACCAAACACCTTCCACAAGGTCAAAGGTCAGCTAAATATTCTAATTCTACTTTCTTGGCATGGACAGTTTTACATATATGAATACCTGCAATGCTTATACGTTCTCGCTTTTGTATTTATAATTATAATACTGTCAGTGGTGTAGTTAGCCCACTGATCTATGATCTATTAGATCAGTGAGCTAGCCATACCAACAGGTCATCTGCAGTATGCAAGTTTTTCATGATTTGCATTATTCAACTATTTGAATATTTTGTATTTATAATTATAATACTGTCGGTGGTACCGTGAAGCTAGCCCACTGATCTATTAGATCAGTGAGCTAGCCATACCAACAGGTCATGCCACAGTATGCAAGTTTTTAATGATTTGCATTATTCAAATAGATCCAGGTTTATAGCTGTGCCATGACCAGTTGCCATTGTAGCCAGCTTGCCACTGAATACTGTACAACATCATATTATATAGAAACAATAATAATACTTGAATGAATCATTGGACATGTAGAATTTAATAACAATTTCATATACAGAAATATTAAGTCCGGTTTTGACCCAATTATCGTTTTAATGGCACCTTAAAGGATTAGTGTCAGGGTCATGTATTGCGGGCTATTGTTATTGTTTACGTATTACTTAAATACAACAAAGAGCGATAAAAATACCTTGTCTGGTACATTTCTGATAAAAATCACACAAAAAGAGCAAATATTATAAAAGAGTGGTTTAAATATATGATAAATTGTAAAAAACTTCCCAGATCATCAATCTATTCGTCCCCAAAAATGGCCGATAGCAGGAGTTTGAGCGGGACTAGCTAACACTCGTGGGTCGTGGGTCGTGGGTAGAATGTCGTGGGTCGTGGGTAGAATGCAGTGGAGTAACGTTATATCAAGGGGCCCCCGGTTCAAAATTTTCGAAGGCTCCCCCCAGTAGAAGTGCCAAAGGCACGAGTCGGGCGCCGTATATGCACGAGTTTTCTAGAGGGTCCAGGGCATGGTCATCCAGAAAATTTTTTAATCTAGACTCTGTGAAATGCCATTTCCTGGACTTTGGGGAGAGACTTTACAGAATTCTGATGGTCATAAAACGACATTGTAACATATCAGAGGCCCCGGTCAATGTTTTTGCCCTATCGCCTAAGCCTGGGGGCCCCCATTGGGGTTGGGGGCCCCCGGGTTCACCCGGTCTGAGCCCATAGTAGTTACGCCACTGGTAGAATGTCGTGGGTAAAAAGGCGTGGGTCGTGGGTAAAAAGGCGTGGGTCGTGGGTAAAAAGGCGTGAGTCGTGGGTTAAAAGGCGTGGGTCGTGGGTAAAAAGGCGTGGGTCGTGGGTAAAAAGGCGTGGGCAAAAAGGCGTGGGTCGTGAGTAAAAAGGCGTGGGTCGTGGGTAAAAAGGCGTGGGTCCCGAATACAAAGTCGTGAGTTCCAAGCAAAGTATTTCCATGCATTTACCTTTCTACCTTTCTTTGGAATGCGTGTTTTTTTTCTTCTGAGGCTTTTCCAAACTATGCCCAAATATGCATAGTCTTAGAGCGCGTTAAGGCCGGGTTTTTCATATCGGCAGATCGGTTTAAAAATATTATAACCAAGTGTGGATGAAACAGTTCAACTTCACGCCCCATATAGCTCAAATATTTGGACGTTATAATCTTATAGACAGATAAATTAGTTACTGCAATTCTTCAATAAGAATATGGCTCAAGGCCACGTGTACGAAAGCTGAGTAGCACTATCCACTCGATATATAGTCAAATTTTTATAACCGGCAATGGCATCATATGTTTTCAGAGCTATATATGGAACTGCGGAGTATAGCTAACCATTTAATTAATGAAATAATATGACATTTGACTTATATATGGTCTTCATGTATATACTATACAAAGAATTCGAAGATCGCCGGTCTGCAAAATAGTGATGTATCGATATCCATATCGGTAATTTTGTTGTTGATATTACCGACATCGTCGTAAACATTACAAGAAAATATATCTCTAGACCAACCAATGTTGCTGTTATTTAAAACTGCTGAAGTCTATCCTAAACGATTTCTGAAATATCGCAAACTACAAACGGAACAAACCTTGCAAGTAAACAATGCTACTCGGGCTGTTATTAAATAAGCGCTGTGAAATTTCCAAATTCCAACTTGCCATTGACTTCGCTGAAACTTGATGCTCAAGAAATATGTAGAAGTATACCTCTCTGTTATCAAACCTACGGTAAAATAATCCGACAAATGCCTACTGAAAGATAAGTCAAAGCATGAATGTTACAAAATAATACTGTATGTGTCACTATGTGACTGTATATTTGTAACTTATATGTTTGACATTAGAAAATACAAACCACATAATAAATTTGACACTAGATTCACGACTGCAACATCATGGTAAGTTAAATCTCTCAAATGCTTTCTTTTATTTTTCCCTGGTAAATTAACAGACATTGCATTAAATTAACACTGTCCAAGTGGAAATTTCTCGCTTATTACTGTAAGAACATCGATCAACAAATTAGTGAAGCCCTGAATGTCAGAATTTAGCTATTTATGACAGGCTTGACAGCACTATTTCCTATTGAAGAATTACAATATTTATCTGTCTAAAAGATTATAACGTCCAAATATTTGAGCTATATGGGGCTTGAAGTTGAAATGTTTCATCCACACTTGGTTATAATATTTATAAACCGATCTGCCGATATCAAAAACCCGGCCTTAACGCGCTCTAAGCTATGCATATTTTGGCATAGTTTGGGAAAGCCTCAGAAGAAAAAAAAACACGCAAGGAATGAGATTTTATCGTTTCTTAATTGTAGCTTTTTGCTATCAATACGAGCAGATGCTTGTCTTGCAATTTAATGTTGAAAACTCTCTAACGTTTATAAACGTTTGAATTTTAGAAAATCGTGTTTAAAATAAAAAAATGAAGCGATCGAGGCGAGTTTGAAGAATTAGATTTGGACGCTGTTTATATGTTGAAATATTTACATATTTACACTTTACAGACTAGATATATTCCGAATATTCGGAATCCGCATAATTTTGCAACTTTGGGAACTTTTTGACTTGTTTCCAAGTCTGTAAATCCTGTGTTATTTGTATTTAAAAGATTTCGATCATCAATAACATAATAATTATCTAGTCTGTAAAGTGTAAATATTTCAACATATTTTAAATAAACAGCGTCCAAATGTAATTCTTCAAACTCACCTCGATCGCTTCATTTCTTTATTTTAAACACGATTTTCTAAAATTCAAACGTTTATATAAGCACCTGCTCGTTTTGATAGCAAAAAGCTACAAGAAACGATAAAAACTCACTCCATAAAACGATGCAGTTGTGCGCCATGCGGCCGACATTGATTCTCTCACATGATCATGTGTTGTTTGGTTGTTCGTACTTTATGTAATAGTCCATATTATGTACAAATCGTAAAACGCACAGGTGACTGGTCAAAACTTATTTCGTATTTTAGAAATGAGCTCAAATCAATATTATATAATATATATGAAACGTATATGAACTCAACACGTTAAAATAATTTTGACATAATTTACACATCAAAATTAAACAAAAAACAGGTGGGCCAAGGGTAGGGCCATACACTGGGCCATGGCCTGGGCCATGGCCTAGGGCCATGTTTTACCTACACCCTTCGGAGACAATGGTGACCTTGATCATGGGGTCACGCAAACGTCTTTGTTGTTGTGTTGTTGAGAATTCAAATCATCGCTGTCCTGAAATTTTTTGAAGAGATAATCTCGGCAGGTGAATTTTGTTTTAGCCCTACAAACGTCGGCATGTGTTTATCCAAGTTATTCAGAATGTTTCTTGACATGAACGATGATACGAAGTCGAAAGAGCACTTCACCATGTTATTTAAGCTTAGCGGTCTTAACTTCATGTCATTATAATCCCTGGCAGACACGAGCAAAGATACTAATAAACTGGACAGAATGTAAGTGAGTGTGTTCCTCCTACTTCTAAAGTGGACAATAACTTTGCATGAAGCGCTTTCACAGCCAAATTTTTTTTCTTACGTTGGTTGTGAATTGACAGTCTACGTGGCAGTAATTTATTCGACATTTGGAGCTCGTTTAGTGTATATTTGTTTCGCTTTATAAAAAATAAAATATTGAACGACCCCAAAATATTTTAACATGTATTTGAAGAGGAGGAAT